AATGCCCTTCCTGCCTAATCTTTGAGTGTTTGGTTCTTTTGTTTCTCAAGGCTTAGCTCAGATGCTGCCTCCACCAGGCAGCTTGCCTGGACTTCTCCTCGGAGCCACCTTGACCCTTGGCCCCTCAGTTGTTTGGGCTCCTGTAAGCCTCTTTGAGTACAATCCCTTCTGTGAGAGACACGGGTGTTCCGACTTCATGTGTGATGTTCTTATCACAGAGTAGGTCCTGTGTGAACAGCAGCTTGGGAACCCCCACCCCACAGGCCCTCTGTCCTTCCCGCATCGTGTGCATGAGTGGGCTGGTGAGAGCACCTCCGTGTGTGCGTTTCTCAGGAGGCTCTGGATGCGGGGCTTGTGTGGATGGCACCAGGAGGGCCTGGGTTCCCATCCCAGCTCACCCCTCACGCTGTGTGACTAAGAGCAAGTGGTTGTACCTCTCTGGACCCCATTTCCGCATCTCTGAAGTGGGGATGTTGTGAGGATGAAATGAGAAAATAGATGTAGAATGCTGAAAACAAAGCTTGGCCCAGTTTCTGCTCCACCTGGTCCTGAAGAGCCATCAGCTGGGTTCCTCCCGATCCGGACCTTCCTCCCCCCTGGTCTGTGCACACAGACTGCCAGGCTGGCTCTCGCAGTCACCTGAGACCCCTTGACCTTGCATGCTTCTTTCCCCCCAGGGCTGGAGGAAGGCTGCGGTGAGGAGCGCTGGGAACTGGCAGGTGTCAGTCTGCAGCCACAGCCTGGGAGTGGCCTATGGGTGGGCATTACCCCTGAGGCACAACTCAGCCTGCCCTGAAGTCAGGTGAGGGGCACTGGAGGTGGGGGAGATGTCAGGCAACTTGGTCGAAGTGGGGGCCACAGCCAAACAGCACCCCTTATAAGGGAGTCACCCAGTGCCCCTCACCTGCCGCTGGTGGGATCACAGACTGGGTCTCGGTTTCCCCATTGGTAAAATGGGCACGGTAATGCCTACCTTATAGAAAAGTTTAACCACCAGCTAGGAAGCCGTTGTCCTGGCCTGACCTCCTGGGCAGTGTGAGGAGAGAGGGAGGAAGAAGCAACTGAACAGCAATAAAGGGTTTATCTCTCGTCCTCAATCCGCCATCTCTGCACCCAGACTTCATTTCCGGCTGTCACTCAGGGACCCTGTTGGGCTCAGGACACGGCTTGATTGTGATGGACTTGATTGTGTGGTTGTGATGGACCCGGCCCTGGGGCCTGAGAGGAAGGAAAGGCCGGGGTCCAGGCCCCCCCGTTCTGCACTGGGTGGGGGGCCCTCTCTGGGTCTCGGTTTTCCCAGCTGTGCAGTGTGGGGTAGTTTGGTTCCTAATTGCAGTGGTCACTGCCCATGGGTGGGCAAGGGTCAGGGACGCCAGGGGTCCTTCAGGATGGAGGACAGCCCAGCACAGCAGAGAATGTCCCAACAGTGGTGCCAACAGTGCCCCATTAAGAGACACCAGGAAGGGCTGCAGGCCTGGCCCCATGCAGGGAAGAGGTCATGAGTGTGTGTTGGACAGTCACCGGCTGCAGAGCCCTCCCAAGGTCTCTGCCCTCACTCCTCCTGGGTGGGGAAGTAGAAGCCCAGACAGAGTGACTCCCCCCGAATCACACAGCTGGCAGGGCTGGGATTTGAACCTGGGCGCTTCTGACCTTCAAGTTCTGCCTCTCTGGTCTCTTTCTCAGGGTTGGTGTGGCATTCATGGCAGGAAAGTAGATGGGTGAACGCTTTCTGATTCATTAATATGTGGTCTCCCCAACTCCAGGGGCTGGGTGCTTTTATTATTCCCATTCTACAGGTGAGCAAATGATGGCCAGAGAGGTTTAGGCATGCGCCCCAGGTCACACAGCAATCCATCCTCCAACATCTAACAAAACCTGAGGATGCAAAGGTGGCGGGGCCTTTCCTGACCAGGGGGCTGCTGCCCACCAGCTCAGTGGCCCTGCCAGTTCCCCTAGGGTTCCCAGTGCCCCTCACGGGCCATCCATTGCATCTGTGCTGGCCACCTGGGCACCTAGCAGGCCTGGCTTTCAGCCACTGCACACACCCAGCAGTCGGCCCCCTTTTCCTCTGCTTCTTCGAGGTTTGGCAGCCTTGGAGGAGAGGGGTCATCTTTGGAGCAGGGCAGCAGCTGCTCCTGCTCTTAGGCCAACTCCCAGGGCAGATCGACCCCTTCTACCTTGGCTGAGTTCAATGTCTGAGGACCTTGCAAAGCCTTCTCGCCCCCCTTACTCTACAACCATCTGTGGCTCCCATTGTCTGCAGGAGGAAAGCCAAACTCCTAATGCTGTGCTTTGCAACTTCACCTGCATCCCCTGGGACCTTGTTAAATTCGGGTGGGGCCTGAGTATTACTGACCAGCTCTGTGGTGCCCAGGCTGCTGGTCCTTGGACCACACTTGGAGGAGTGAGACCTCATGACCTGGCTCCATCTCCACTTCCCACCTGGCTTCCTCACGAGTCACATGGGATTTCATTCATGGACTCACATCTGCAATGGCTTTTTCCTTTTTTGACATGATCCTTCTCATCCCTCAAAGTCAGGCTCAAAAGCACCTCCTCAGTGACCAACAGAACTAGCTGCTCCTCATCCGCTCTCTTGGACCCCTTAACAAGCCTCTGAAATTCCATATCAGCACCTTTAAGAACAGACCTCTTGCCCTGGCCTGGGGGTCACTTGGTAGGAGCGTCATCCCATACACCAAAAGGTTGCAGGTTTGGTCCCTGGTCATGGCACATACCTAGGTTGTGGGTTAGATCCCTCGTTGGGGTGCATACAAGAGGCAACCGATTGATGTTTCTATCTCTCTCCTTCCCTTCCTCTCTAAAAATCAATAAACATATCCTTAGGTGAGGATTAAAACAACAACAACAGCCCTCTTAGCTGTGACGCTGGCTCCACCCTTACAGCTGGATACCTTGGGCAAGTTACTTAACCTTTCTGGACCGATTGTTTATTTAAACTCTGCCTTGTGTCAAAATGGACCAACAGTTGCTTTCAAACATACTCTTGGATAAAATCAAAAGCCAGTGTGCTCGATGGGCTGATGGGGACAGAGGGCAGAGGGCAGACCTGTTTCCCACCGTCTCCTGGGGTTTCAGCCCCCGGTGTGGGCACAGCGGGCATTCAGAGAAACGCTGAAGGGAAGCTCTCCCATAACCCACGGCATGACCTTTCCAGGAGCTTCTCATCCACAAAAGTAAATTCCAAAGGAGCGGTGAGAAAGACAAACATGGCGAGATTTCCGACAGCCCGTCTTAATAGCTCATTTAAATGCATCTGTACCGCAAGCAAATATTTTCTTAAGGGAGGGGGTGGATGTACCTCTCAGTCTTGTGCGCCATGAAGCCCTCCACCCTGAAGGGCTGTAAGTGGGGGAGGGGGTGAAGGGAGAGGAGAAGGCAGATGTCTGTTAGAGCAATTCACTTGCCGAGAAGGCTTCATCCCTTCCTGCCTGGCGTGGAGCTGGGACTGCCCCCAAGTGGCCCTTGGTACCTGGGGATGGTCAGGGTCTTCATCGAGAGCCTTGTGCTGACCATCGCCTGGCACCGTGACCCACATCCAGAGCCTGCATCCCCTTCTCTGCCTGGGCCAACTACAGGTCCTCCCTCTCTGACCCTCCTACCACACCTCCCATGGCTGGCTGAGATCTTGGACTTTCTCTTTGACCTTTGGCCTCACTGCTGGCCCAAGGGAACCTCGCCTGGAACTTGGACCCTGCCCCCTAAGACCTGCCTGCAGTCACCCAAAGAGGGAGTAGCTCTAGGCAGAAGGCAGCAATGGAGGACCACAAACCTATGGACACTGGGGTATAAGTGGCCCCACCCCAGAATTAGAGTCTGGACTGTTTTGGAGGTGCCATAGCGTTGGGTTGGTAGGAGCCAGAGTGGGTGGCTCAGGAATTCGTTTGGATTTTGTGGTGGGAACCCCTGTTCAGGAGAGAACCCAGAAGAAACCTCCCGTCACTAACCACTTGGCAGCATGCTCCCATTTGCTGTGAGACCTGCTTATTCCCATGTATCCAGGAACCCCACGGGGGCCGGGACCTCGTCTGCCTCCCTCTCTGCTGCATGTAACTGGATGCACCGTGTAGTCACAGGCTTTGACACCTCATGCCATCATCACCGAAGTACCTATGTGGTGTCCCCTCCGTGGGTGCCAGCACACATGGGTGGGCTGGGAGCAGGAGCAGCTGAGAGCTGGAGCAGGGAGTCCATCAGGGCCGCCAGGGTCAGTCCTGAGCTGGCATGGAGGGAGCTAGGAGTGTGCAGGGCTGAGGCCCAGCTGGGGCTGGAGTTGTGACCAGCTGCTCCTGCCTATCAAGCCCAGAGCAGATCCTCAGCCCAGCTCGCTGTCTTCCCAGAAAGCTGGGGGTGGGGGGTGCTCCCTGGGGCAGGCTGCTGGGCTCGCCTTCCCCAAGCTCCTCCTTATAGAAAGGGAAACTGAGGCTGGGGGAAAGTAGTTACGTCTGCCTAGAATGTCAGTGGAAGGGCCCCAGGGGGCTCCAAGCGCAAGAGTTTCCAACTTGAGACCTACAGACGTGCCCTGGCATTATCCATTGGCTGCACTGGTTTATGTCTTGGGATTCTGTTGGAATCTGCTCTTTAAAGAAAATTTGAAAGGCACTGTTCTCCCTCTTTGGATGGGAAAACTGAGGCCTGGTAAGGGGGATCACTTGCCAAAGTCCCAGGGCAATTCGGAGCTGAGCTGGACCCTGAGTCTATCTGCCTGAGGGCTCTGGGGGAGACCCCATGCATGCCACCTTCCAAGATCTCCTGCCCAGGCTATGGGAGTGAGGGTGTCGAACCCCATCCAGGAGCCAGACATGACAGCAGCATGTCCCCTTTAAGCAGAGAGCCGCCTGCTGCAGTGGGTGGACTCAGCGCCCAGCCAGTGGGAGCTGGGAGCTTCCCTCCCACGGCCCCTCCCTGGTGAGGGTGTGGGAGGGGCAGAGCAGCGTGGCTCCCAAGGGAGTCAGTGGGCAGCAGGGACAATAGCAGACATGCTGTGTGGGCTCAACCGGGAGACCCCTGAAGAGGCCGGTAAGTAATGGGGGACCTGTAGGCAGAGTGGTGAGGCTGGTTCCTCAAACTGCTGTCCGATGGGGGACTGGGATGGCTAAGAGTGGGACTGCCACTCCCCAGAGACCCAGGGCTTGGAGAGAGTGCAGGGAGCGGGACACCATAGGTTGCAAACTCAGATGCCCACAGGGGCACCTGGCCGGGGTGAGCAGGTGACAGGGCTGTCTGTCTGACCAGCTGCTGTCCTGCAGCAAGGGGCTGAGTCCTCTGGGCTGTCCAGAGGGCAGTGCTCAGCCCCTCAGGGGTGCCTCGGGAATGGCACCCACCTCGGCATGAGCGGGCAGGAGGGAGCTCCCTGCGCAGAGGTGGGAGCAAAGGTGTGGTGTGGAAGGAGCTCCTGGACCTTGTAGCGGAAGGAAGAAGCCCTGGCTGGGGTCTGGTTGCTGAGCCCTGGGGCTCTGGGGATGCAATGGGGAGGGAGGGTGGCACACAGCTGCCACATTCCTGGGTGGCCAGGACTGGGACTCAGGGAAGGGCTCTGGGGCGGGCGTAGTTGCTCCATCCATCTGTCCATCTGTCTCCAAGCTGGCCGGGCTGGCCTTACTTCTCCCCATACTCCCCAACAGGGAGCTTGGTCGGAGCCAGAACCCAGCCCTTCACTCTGTGCACTGGGGCCACCCTTGTCAATCCCTCCCCACACTCGATATACTCTTGACTTTCCCGCCTGGCAACAACTCCTAAGGGAGGGACTGTGGACAGGAGAGAAACAGGGGCACAAACCTGGTGGTCTTCCGAACGCCCTACAACTACGACACAGTGACTGACTTGGGATTGGCACGCATACAAGTACAGCCCGGCTCTCCACCAATGAACTTAGGCTCCCACCTCCCCACCCATGGCAAGGGGCAGAGGCAGGGTTACCCTCAGACGCCACATAATAATAATGCAAACAATAGCTGACAGCTATTGAGATCTGACTCTGTGCCAGATCTTACTCTACCAGCCGTGGGCAAACTACGGCCCTCGGGCCGGATTCGGCCCGTTTGAAATGAATAAAACTAAAAAAAAAAAAAAGACCGTACCCTTTTATGTAATGATGTTTACTTTGAATTTATATTAGTTCACACAAACACTTCATCCATGCTTTTGTTCCGGCCCTCCGGTCCAGTTTAAGAACCCATTGTGGCCCTCGAGTCAAAAAGTTTGCCCACCCCTCTAACCTAAGCTCTCTCTGTGCGTTTTCTCATTTAATCCTCACAACAACACTGAGTTCAGGACCATTCTCCCCACTTTACAGTTGGGGAAACTGAGGCATGGAGCTGTTACGTGACTTGTCCAAGACTACCCAGCCAGAAGTGGCAAAGCTGGGATTCCACCCCATGCGGTCTGCTCCTGCCCCCTCCTGGCGACTGCACTATAGATGGAGACACTGCTTTCCTGGCCTGGGCATCTGTGTCCTCTTGACCTAAGGCCCACATGAGTGGAGTCACCTCGTCCTGAAGTGGTCAGAGCCACACGGGCAGTGGTGCCCCAGAGACCTCACCTGGGGCATTGGCAGGAGGTGTCTTCCCCTGCTATTGGGCCTCTGCCTCCATCCAGGCTTAGGCTTCAGCATCGCTGCCTGGTCCTTTGCCCAGTCTCCCCTCCTCCTCCTCCTCCTCCTCCTCCTCCCTCCTCCTCCTCCTCCTCCCTCCTCCTCCTCCTCCTCTCCCTGTGCTCCTTTTGGGAGCTTACTAAAATGTAAATCCAATTACAGCTCCTTATCCTGGCCTTCAAGGCCCCTCATGATCTCCCTGACTTTTTCTCTCTCTGGTGACTTACTTGACCCCCACCCTCCAACCGCAGCCCCCACCTACTTTCCTCCCCAGGTCACAGAACCTCATGGTCACAGCTGCCAACGCTCTTTTTAAGAAAAATCCAAAGACGGAACTTCAGGCATAGCTGGATCCAGGTGCTCACTTAACACTGTTAGGTTTATGCTTCTTTTTAGGCGCGTTTCATTTCAGGCAGACATTTGCTTCTCCAGAGGGCCCCTCGGACTTTCAAGCTTAAGGTTACCTAGTTCAGTTCTCCCTAAGGAAGGACCATTCCTAGCAGTTTCAGCAAACGCCCCAGGGCCTGCTCTTGTTGGCCCAGCTTGGGTCACATGCCCTCTCCTGACCACTCACTGGATCTCTGATGGGCCAGGCCTGGTTATGCGGCCTCCCCAGGAGCAGAGGGACAGGGCAGCCAATGGGTGGCCACTCCATACGCACTCCCCATTTCACAGAGAAGGCTGAGCCCCGAGCAGTCAGGCCACTCACAGTGCTTTTCCGTGAGCACCAGGCCTGGGACTCGCGGCCCAGTGCCCTTTCTCTGCCCCAAAGCACTCCTGCTTGCCTGAGCCCTTTCCAGGCCTGTCCTCTGGCCATATTCAGCCTTGCTCCTGGGAGTCTTGTTTACCCTCCGCTAACCCAAGCCCTTGAGGAAAGGCTGTGAGCAGGGCTGGGACACACATGGACACAGACTTCGGCAGTAACTTCCTCCCTCACTCCCCACCCTGTTTCCAGTGTTCACTCTTTTCTGACTCCAGGCCACAAAGTGGTCTTTGTTCCTCAGCACTTGCGGTCTTTGTTCCTCAGCACTTGCCACCCAGGAAGGCTAGGGCAGTGTGTGTGTGTGTGTGTGTGTGTGTGTGTGTGTGTGTGTGTAGTCCCTCATCTGCGGCCTGGGCTTCCCACTCCTCTGAGGGGACTCTCACCAGACCACCTGGATCCCTGCACAGGCCCAACCTCCTGCGCCACAGGCTCCAGACTATGGAGGCCACAGAGGCTAAGGAGGCCACGGCAGCCATGGCTTAGAGTCCGGGAGGCCTGGGTTTGCATCCTGGGTCTGCCTCTTCTTGATTTTATGATCCTGAACAACTCATGCTACCTCTTTGATTCCCATTCTCCTAATCTGCAGGTGAAATCTAATTCAACGTTATTTACTGAGCCCTTACTGTATGCAGGCTCTCTGTGCTGGACATAGCAGGGAACAGGCAGACAACATCCCAGCTGATATCCTAGTGGGGCAGAGGCAGATAGTTAATAAGATCGCAAAGTTTTTCTAAAAAAAGTCAGGTCTGTTAGATGGCGTTGAATGCTCTGAGGATAAATCAAGCAGAGAAGGAAGGTGATGGGTGGTATTAGAGGCGTGGGGAGTGCAGGTGTAAGTTCAACAGACTGGTTGGGGAAGACCTCCCTGAGAAGGTGACAAGTTCCTGAAGGAGGAGGCAGCTTTGTGGATGTCTGAGGAAGAACATCCCGAGCAGAAGGGATAGCCAGTGCAAAGGCCCTGGGGTGGGCATGCGTCTGATGTCGAGAATAGTGAGCAGACCTGGCAAAGGGGAGATCTTTAGGAGGCCAGAGAACCTGAGGGACTGGGATGACAATTTTGCTTTTACTCTCAGCAGGATGCATTGAGTCTTTTTACTGCTCTGGGCAACCACTGGTGGGAAATAAAATGGTTCCATGGTGACTCAGTTTTGAGGTCATGTTCCTTGATGTTGCTGGTTTCAGAGTTAGACAGGAGAGCACAGACTCAGAAGGCAGAAGGCCAAGGCCTGACTTGAGCCTGCACCCCATCCCACATGATGTTGGGGCCACCAGGAGTGTGACTTCAGGCCCAGTGCCAGGCGCTTCCCACACTTGGTGGGAGCTCTCCCAGTCATGCTCATGGCTCCTGGGAGCCCTGACCTGCCTAGCCTGTGGGTGCCTGAGCTCTGTCCCCGGGGTGGGAGGGAGGAGCAGTGGGGGCTCCTGGAGGCCAACACTGCCTCTAGGGTGCCCCTTATTGGGAGAGGGAGAGAGCAGAGCCGAGGGTTAAGGGTATGGCCTGTTGAGGGGCCCAACAGGCCCATATTCCAGTCCTTCCTCTGCAGTCACCAGCTGAGTGACGTCTCTGGGCCTCTGTCTCCTCATCTGTACATTGGGACCATCAGATAGTTCTCAGTGGAGTTAAACTCGTTCAGGGCAGATGAAGTGCTTAGAGCAGGCCTGGCATAGGGCTCCACACCCGGTGCCCCTTCTCTGTTCCTTTTCTCTTACAATCCTTGGTACCAAGTGAATCAGGAGTCTACTTTTTAAATTAATTGACGTTTTTCCTTCTTGTTTCCCTTAAAAGCATGCATACAACAGAAAGAGCGCAGCCTTGATCTTGCCATGCTTCCCTCCCACGGGAAGCTGGCTTCTGGGGAGGCTGGTCAGCTGTGAGGGTAAGGCTGTCACTTCGAGCAGAATCAGCTTTGATTCGTCTCCATCCAGCTGTCTGCCCTGGTCCAGCTGTGATGGCCAGAGGGACATTATTTGTGAAGAGTTCCCAAAGGAGCTGGGGCTGGGCCATGGGCATTGTCCCTGAGTCTGCCCAGGTCTGCCATGGGATGGGAGGTGGAGCCGGGAGGGCCTCTGGCTCTGCCGCTGAGGAACTTAGGAGCTGGGTGACCCTGGACATGTGAACCTGCCTGTGCCTCAGTGTCCCCATTTCTAACATCGGGATGATAATGGTACCCACCACATAAAGTGGTGATAATTTTAAAGTTCTTAGAACACGGCCTAGGGTCAAATCTTGGCCCTGCTCCTTATGGTAGGAAGTTACTTAAGCCTCTCTGTGCCTCAATTTTCCCATCTTTCAAATGGGAATAACAATCATACCACCTCAGAAAGTGGTGAGGATTAAATGGGATAATGCTTATGAAGCACATAGCACCAGGCCCAGCATTTAATCGATAGGAGTTGTTACCATTACTGAGCTGGGAAAACCTTTCTAATGAAGGGAACAGAGGGGGCAAAGGGAGACCTGTCATGTTTCATGATTTCTCGGTACCGTACAGTCTCATTGATTCCTCCCACCAACCCATGATGTGGGCACTGCACCCCCACCGTGCAGAGGAGACGCCCAACGGTCGGAGAGAAGTGACTTGACCCAGAGCCATTAGTTGGCAGCAGATGTGGAATCAGAATCTGAAGTTGGCCTAAGTCCAAAGTCCATCCTTTCTTTTCCAGCAAACCAGCAACGCCTTCAGAGGTGGGGTCAACCAAGCCAGGAGTGGCCGAGCACGTGGAATGCTGTAGCGGGTTCCCCTGGAGGGTCAGCAAGCGGCCACCATGTACAATTGATGGTTGGACCCAGGGACGAGTGGGGGACCCTCTGCTCCCCATCAGCACACGGGGGCGGGCTGGCCTTGCAGGTGGCTCAGTGTCATGCTGTCACTTCCTGTTTGTCCCAAGTTGAGCCTCTCTGGGCATCCATTTTCTCAGGGGTCCCTCCTCTCAGATGTGAGCGCTTCTTCCTGGAGGCCCACAGAGTAGCATCAGTCAAGGCTGAGTCTATAGCCCCTCCCAGCAACCCCCTCCCACGCCCCTCTCCGGCTTAGGGGGTCCTGGCAAAGGCAGTGGGCCAGGGGCTGACTTCCTTTTTCCTTTGTCAAAGCTCAATAGCTCCCTGGGGCTCCAGAGAGATGGAGATAATTAGGCAAATTAGCAACGCCCTCAAGAGAAATGACATAAAAAAGAAGCTCACCCACCCACCCTGGGCACAGCGGGGCTGGGGACCAGGTGTACAGGGCTGTGCAGGGTACAGCGCCTCTCCCTTCTGCTCCCCCCCTCTCACCCAGCCCACATGTGCCAGGGCGGCTGGCATCACTGCGGAAATGAATTTCCCTCTGAAGCGAGTTCTTACAGGATGGATGGACTGAAGTCAAAAGCTCATAATTGCCCATTGCTGGAAGGAGGAGATAGGAAAAAAGAAACTCGAGGATAAAAATATCTCTGTTTTTTTATGCACGTTTCCAGCTGAAAATTGGTGGGAAAGATGTTTTTGAAAAGCCTTCATCTCTAAGCATATAATTACCAGGTCTCAGAACAAAAAAGAGAGAGTGGGAAAGAGTGAGCATGTTCTCTGAGGGAGGGGGCCTGGGGCCTGACCCCCTGGGGATTTCTATAAATAAAATCATTTCTTCAGATTCTCAAGCCTGGGCTGGCTAGAGCCAGCGATGGAGGGCCACCCCTTCCCCCCATTTTACAGATGGAGAAATAGAGACTTAAGTCACACAGCCAATGGTAATTCTGGCCCTGCTGAGATTCTTGGTTTGCATGCTGCCTCAGTCTCTCCTCCCCCGCCCCCCCACCCCAAAGCTTGTGACAGTGGTATGCTATGTCCCCTCTGAACAGGAATCAGCAAACATTGTAGCATTCCTTGTGGGTGCCTTTCTGAATATGGCAGTGGGTCTTAGATAGCCAGTTTCATCCGGCAATTCACCTCTCTAGAAAGAGGTCAGCACAGCCACAGCCTAAAATGCGTGTGCCTTTCTCTAGAGAAGGGTCCTCACTTATTGCCCACTGACTCTTTGTCTGCAAACAGTTGTATGAACCCTGGTTTGCAGCACGCTGTCAGGCCCGCTTGACGGCTGGGAAAAGAGATGGCCCACAGCCTCAGCCCAAAGCCAGCAAGAAGTTGTAGAAGGAGGGAGTTGGGGCCACTCAGTGTTGAGACAAGCAGCTGTCTCTGCTGTCCCTGCAGCTCAATTCAGCACTGAGTAGTTCACTAGAGCAAGATCTGAATATTGGGATGAGGAGAGAAGGGAGAGGACACACTTGGAGGATTCCAGAGACACCTCGGGGAATGGGTCCTGGCCTTCGGCAGCCAGCATCCTGCATCCTTTGCTTCAGAAAGAATCCTGCATTGTTCCTCAGTCTTAGTTTCTGAATCTTTTTTAAAAAAAAACATATTTTTATTGATTTCAGAGAGGAAGGGAGAGGGAGAGAGAGATAGAAACATCAATGATGAGAGAATCATCGATCGGCTGCCTCCTGCACGCCCACACTGGGGATCAAGCCCGCAACCCGGGCATCAGGGAATCGAACCGCGACCTCCTGGTTCATAGGTTGACGCTCAACCACTGAGCCATGCCGGCTGGGCAGACTCTGAATCTTTTGTTTTTAGTATCGGGGTTCAAAACTCCACCTTTAACCCCCTGTTGTTCCACTCTATTCTTTGGGATCCTACTGCTCTGAATTTGGCGAATTTATCCTCGCTTCCTCCTTTCCTTAAGAGATCATCTCCCCCTCCACCATCCCCAGACTCATAACCCTGGAGCCAGCAAGCTTATCTTTGGTCTGCCCCGGATTGCCCAGTGGCAGAATCTCATTTGCACAGGATAAGACCGATTTCAATTCCAGAATTGCCCTCATGAAATACGAGAGACGTTCGCTGTCGCACAGTTGATATAACCCAATCTTATTAATTTTATTAGCCCAGAAACATCTTGTTGAATCCAAATGAAGTGCGAGTTAGAGAACTGTAATGGGAGGCATTATACTTAATGGGGTGTTGCCTAAATCGTTGCTGGCTGGTGTGAACAGAGGGCCTGGGGGGAGAGGGGTGAGCAGAGCTGCTGGGCGCCCAACTCCAGAGGCCCTAGAAATGACTCCGGGTTTAACTGCTGTTTGATTTGCTGTTTACCTCCTTCTGGCAAGCAAAGGGAGCTCAGCCCTGGCCTGCAGAGCGGAGTGAGGGCACTCGGGCTCTGTGAGACCCAGATTGAGCTGCAACCCTCACTCTAGAGCAGCGGCGGCCAAACGGTGGTCTGTGAGGTCTGAAAGGTTGGCGGCCGCTGCTCTAGAGCAGTGATTCTCAAGGTGTGTGTCGGGGGTGTGGAGGGGGGGTGGGGGTGTGTTGGGGGGTGGGGGTGTGTTGGGGGGGCAATATTGCTCCCCTAGAGGACATTGGCAATGTGTGAAGTCATTTTGGGTTGTCACGACCGGGGTGGGGTGCTACTGGCATCTAGTGGTTAGGTCTTGCTGTGGCCAGGAGGCTGGGGGAGGGGAGAAGAGTGACCTCCCCATAGCCGGTGAATGGCTGAGCCAGGATATGCACTCAGGCCAGGCTGAGCCCTGAGCCCATGATCGTAACACTGGGCCAAGCTGGCACTGCAGGGGTGAAGGTGGCAGGAAGGTTATTCTTCAAGGGCAAGCGTCCGGGCTGGGGGAGGGGGCACGTGCAGGCTCAGGTGAGACAGACTCACCTTGGGCTGCCTAGAATGTCTGAGAATATGGCTCGTGCACTGTAAAGTGCAGTCCTCATGAAGAGTCACTCACTGGGTCCACTGCAGATTGAGTTTGCTCAGGGCCAGCACTGTCTCCCAGGGGCTGTGACACCTACCTGCCTGCGAGGGAGCTCCCTGTCCCCGCAGGTGTGCGAGCACAGCCTCAGGTGGTGCAGTCAGCAGACCCTGGTTCTCACCCACATTGCGTAACTCCCCAGCTGTGTGACCGTGGGCATGAGTTGTCCCTCTCTGGGCCTCAGCTTCCTTACGGCTACAATGGAATAATATTACCCATAATAATAATACCAGCCCCGCGGGGCTGTGCAGATGGTTAACCACAGAACAGTGTGAATGTTCAAAAGAATGTTATTCAGCCCCAAGAGCAGAGATAGAGCCGCCCTTGGGAGGAGAAGCCACCAGGATCGCCCAGCAGAGACACCGGTGGAGCTGGTGGCAGGAAGGAACCCCTCTTTCAGGCCACACCCCTGAAAGGTTGGCCTGAGTGGAAATGAAAATGGAGCTCTGGGCCTTTTCTCTCTCTCTTGCCTGCAGACGATGGGCCTTACTCCAAAGGAGGCAAGGATGCAGGAGGCGCCGACGTGGCCCTGGCTTGCCGCAGACAGAGCATTCCAGGTACCGAGCCCCTCTCCTTCCCCTTCCTCTTTCTCTGTCCTGGAGGCACGGAGAGCTCTGGGTGGGGGTCAGACAGCATTGGCTTTGCTGCTAACTTGCTCTGTGACCTTAGACCAACCACATAACCTCTCTGATCTGTAGAAAGGAAATATCTCACCCAGCGTAAGGCAGCCACGTGCCCTGCTTACCTAACGTGTTAGCCTCACTTGTTTTGGCGCCGAGGGCCCCAGATTGCCCCGCGCTGCCCCCTCATCTTCCATGTGTCAGCAGAGGAGTTCCGAGGGGTCACCGTGGTGGAGCTGATCAAGAAAGAAGGCAGCACGCTGGGCCTGACCATCTCCGGTGGCACCGACAAGGATGGGAAGCCCAGGGTCTCCAACCTGAGGCCCGGGGGGCTGGCGGCCAGGTGAGAGAGGGCTTGGTGGGGGCAGCAGGAGGGGGCTAGGGGCCAGTGGGGAACAAACTAGGGCTTTGGGTAAAGCAATCAGGCAGTTGTTTCCAGAAGCTCTCAAGAGCTCGGTGTCTGCGGAAGGAAGCCCTGCAGTGGGGGCTATACCTCTAGGCCCCAGCTTCCTCTCTTTGCCTTTACAGCAGGTGCTCACTCGGCCACTGTGCCTCCTCCAGCCAGGCCCTCCAGGCTTTGCCTATACGGTTCCCTCTGCCTGGAAGTCTCATTCCCCATGACAGCCTCCCGGCAGACTCCTGTTCATCCCTCCACATTGCCTCTGGGAAGCCCCTAGCCTGAGGCTAGGGACAGCCACTCCGCGGGCCGGATCCGGCCCGTTTGAAATGAATAAAACTAAAAAAAAAAAGACCGTACCCTTTTATGTAATGATGTTTACTTTGAATTTATATTAGTTCACACAAACACTCCATCCATGCTTTTGTTCCGGCCCTCCGGTCCAGTTTAAGAACCCATTGTGGCCCTCGAGTCAAAAAGTTTGCCCACCCCTGCCCTAGCCCCAGGCTGGGACAGCCGCTCTGCTCACACAGCCCCATGTGCCACTTCCACACACATTGCCCTGGATTTCCCCATTGTTTTGGCTCCCTTGGACCATGAGTTCCATGAAACCTGGGAGTCAGCCTCTCCATCGCTGCCTCTCTGGATGGAGCGGGCACTGACAAGTGTTCAGTTGAACAGAACAGATGAGTGGTGAAAAGCAGGAAGAGTGTTAGGACTAGCAAAGGAGGTGATCTGGCCCCTCTGCAGGCTCGCCTGGAGCCGGGGAGAGCTCAGAGGGTGACCCCAGTAGGAGGGGAGGCAGGCAGACCGGCCTCGGGGGACATGCCAGGCCTGGGTGTCAGACAGGTCTAGGTTAGCATCCACGCTGTCCTACTCACTCACTGTGTGACCCCGGACATTGTCTGACCTCTGAGCCTACATTCCCCCTCTGTACAATGAGGATCCGGGTGACATAAGGATTCCGTGGGAGGGTGGGTGTGAACGCTGCACCTGTCACCATGCCTGTGCTCTGGCCTCCTTGCTCCCAGGAGTGACCTGCTGAACGTGGGCGACTACATTCGGTCAGTGAACGGGATCCACCTGACCAGGCTCCGCCATGATGAGATCATCACCCTGCTCAAGAACGTGGGCGAGCGCGTGGTGCTGGAGGTGGAGTATGAGCTGCCCCCGCCCGGTGGGTGCCCTTGGACAGGGAACTTTCTCCGCTGCCTTGGTTGTGGGTGGACACCGCTGCCTCCCTGCCAGGGCCTGGGTGGTGGGGATCGTGCCAGATGGGGTAGGTGGGACCTGGAGACTGACCACAGACCTCCATCCCTCACCCAGGGGCTTTGCCTGCCACCACAGGATGCTGTCCCAGGGGGTGGCAGGGCCCTGTTTATAATTCACGGTCATATTACATATTTATTTGCAGATTTTTTTTCCTTTAAGGGGACAAGTTTGGGGAACATTGGCTGAATAACTTGTCCCCTGCCCTACCGCTCTCCCCAACCTATCACCCTGCATAGAGTACAGTGGCCTAACTCTGAATTTTCAAAGTTGGCCTGGAAATTGAGTAACTGTTTCAACCCTGGCCTGAGCCCACCAGCCATGGATTCAAGCCTGAGTTCCACCATCGTCTCTGTGTGAGGGTGGGCAGGCCCTTTCCTCTCTCCAGGTGATGGACAAAGTGGGTACTAGGAACAGGGTCCCTCTTGTCCTACCCGTTAAATGGGGAGGAATTTGCCCTTCCTGTAGTCTCCATGACTGGTCACCCAGCTCTCCTGGAACAAGCTTTGGGGACATCTGCCAGCTCAGCGATGTGACTGAGAGACTCAAGGGGGTCCTCCGTTTTTCTCTAGCCCCTGAGAACAACCCAGGGATCATGTCAAAGACAGTGGACGTCTCACTCTACAAGGAGGCCAATAGCTTTGGCTTTGTCCTGAGAGGTCAGTGTAAGAGTCACCCTTGGGCCGGGGGGCGGGAAAGTGGCTAATTCTGATTCTGTGTATGTTCTGTTTTGCTTTAATGAATCTGTGCATAAATCGGATATGTCATCTATATCTTGCTTCTGACTTTAAAGAACCCAGGACTATTAAGCCAAGTGTTAAATGGAAAATGCTGCCAAGCAATGAAATGTAGGTGGTTGAGGGGAGTATGAGGGAAAAGTTGTTTCAGAAAATGGTGGTGCCACTGAGATTGAGAGCAAAGTTTGGAGCCGCCTAGCCATCAGGGCCGAAAGGGAAACAGGATGAGATCCGAGGAAGGGAAGCAAGCCAGTTAGCAGGGAGAGGACTTTGGCCATGTCCTCTACTGTCCTCTACAGCCGGTATCTCAGAAGAGGGTCTGTGAGTAGCAAGGATAAGGTCCTCAAACAGATGTAACGGGGAGAGCCCTGTAGGGCCTGGGTCAGGGTCTCTGGGCATCAGGAAAGGCATGGGTAGGTGATTTTCTGCCTCTTGCTGAACTCCGTCCAGGAGGGGCCCATGAAGACGGCCACAGGTGTCGCCCACTTGTCCTGACGTATGTGCGACCTGGGGGTCCTGCCGACAGGTGAGCCTGAGCCAGAGGAAACCTTACAGCCTCGCACTGTGCTGACCAACCCCAGCTCCTTGTGAGGAAGGCAGAGCTGGGGCCTTTGTGCCCATTCTCCAGATGAGCACACTGAGGTCCAGAGAGAGTACACCCTTTGCCCATAGTTGCTCAGGGAGTATTTGGTGGAGCCAGGACTAAACCCCAAATGAGAGAGACCCCAAGCTCTTTCTTCCCCAACATTCTGTGGTTTCAGGGGGCCGTGGGGAAACAAGCCTTAGTATCACATTGCTCTTCCCTTCCCTGGCCTTAGTTTTCCGCTCTGTGGAATGGGTCCAATATTTTAGCCCCCAAGATTTGGGGCACGGTGATCGGCGTCACTGTGGCCCTCTGTAATTCAGCCCCTGCCCCCACCCCACCCCAGTCCTGGCTGCACTGCCCACCCCGGCCCTGCCCAGACACGCAGGAGGAGAGAATGTGGAGGAGGAATGTGCCCGGTTCCCAGCGCCTGGTGTCCCAGTGGGAGATTCCTGGCCGTTTTAAGAGAAGCCTGGAAGGGCCTTGTCAGAAATCTAAATCTGTCCTGGAACAAGGCCCTGCAACAAGCTATTCATAGAACCTCCCAGAATAGCTTTGGCCACCTGTTGGGGCAGGCATTCCAGGGCGGAGGACTTGACCCAAGCCGAGGTGAACCCCAGCTCGGGCCCCACCCTGGCGCCCCCGGTGAATTGGTTCCCAGGCCCATTTGTCACCAGGACAGAATCACTGCTGAGGAGCCAGGTGGGACCGTGGGAGGGAATCTCTGTGATGGGCAGCATGGAGCATCCAGATCACCCCACTGCTGACGCCGTGTGGCCCTGGCGGGGCTGCCGTCCTCTCTGGACCCTGGCGCGCTCGTCTATCCCCGGGGCAGGAGGGCGTGGCGATCCCAAGGGCCATCCCCCTCAGACATTCTAGGGTTGAGCCAGGACTGAATGTCTTAAGCACCCGGTGGGGTGGGAGATGTCAGAGCGGACCGGTTCCTGTCTTCCCCCGCCCACGTGTTCATCTGCACAGGCCTAGTCGCTCATCCTGTCACTCCTCATGCGTGCCTTCACGCACCTGTCCCGTCCCTTTCTCCCTCACCCACTCCCTGCCCCTCCTCTGTCCTCTGTGCCCACCTTTCCCAACGCCCTCTCGGCAGGGCTGTGCCCAGTGCTCGCGCCGGGCCAGGTGGCTGACCGGGCCCTTCCCCGCAGGGAGGGCTCTCTGAAGGTGGGCGACAGGCTGCTGAGCGTGGACGGGATCCCCCTGCACGGGGCCAGCCTCGCCGCGGCCCTGGCCACTCTGCGGCAGTGCAGCCACGAGGCCCTCTTCCAGGTGGAGTATGACGTGGCCATTCCAGGTGAGCCGGGGCCTGCGGGCCAGGGCTGGGCAGGAAGAGGCCCGGGGGCGGGGGGGTGGGGAGCATGTAGTGGGCACGACCCTCACCACTGCAAAGGTTGGATGACCTGGGCCAGTCACTCAGCTTCTCTATCTGGGCAATAAACACTATGAACCTGGCACTGTTTGATGCAACGGGCATTCTGCTGAGGACAATACAGAGGTCGCTGTTCTCATGAAGCTGACGCTCTGGTGGGGAGAGATGGGCAGTAACCGGAATGAGTCCGATAGAGAGAGTGTCAGACGTCAGTAAGTGCTGCAAAAAAAAGTTAGGGAGAGAGATGGGAAAGGCTGGGAGGGACTTTCTAATTTGCAGCCACCCAGTGGGAGAAAGGCCAGGGTGGCTGGACCAGGCTGGTGGCTGAGGAGCAACTCCGTAGGGGGCAGGTTCAGGAAATGTGATTGATGGAGGTCGAGCCAGCCCGATTTGCTGGCGTTTGGACATGGTGGTGGGACCAAGAGCAGAGGAGCTAGGTTTTGTTTTTGAGCCGCTGGGCAGTTCAACGGGGGGGCCGTTTTCTGAGGTGGGGAAGGGTTGCAGTGGACACTACAACTCAGTGCCGGCATGCAGCAGGCTGTCAATAAATGTGAGCAACGTAGCATTGTCCAGCAAAGCCCTGCGGCCAGAGCCCCTCAGACCCGGATCCCTGCTCCTCCTTCGCTGCACACTGGCTGTGTGCACTCGGACAAAGACAGCCTTCCCCTCCGCCCGTCTCAGTCTTCTAGTCTGTAAAATGGGTGCAGTGATCCCAACCTGGCAATGAGGATTCAATCGAGACAGCAGAGTGAGGCTAGGGACGATCGTGCTCAGTATTTGCACTTCAAACTCTTCTTTCATTCCATGTGCCAGATACCGTGGCCAATGCTTCGGGGCCCCTGATAGTGGAGATCACCAAGACGCCGGGGTCCGCCCTGGGAATCTCGCTCATCGCTGGCTCCCACCGGAACAAGCCAGTCATCACCATCGACCGCATCAAGCCGGCCAGCGTGGTGGACAGGTGAGGCACATGCTGGGCACTGCCATGGTGAAGAGGGTGGTAGGGGAAGAGGCCACCCGGACCAGCTTCTCCCCCCCGCCCACCCCCCGTCCTCTGGCCAGGAGTGGAGCGCTGCACGCTGGAGACCACATCCTGTCCATCGACGGCACCAGCACGGAGCACTGCTCGTTGCTCGAGGCCACCAAGCTGCTGGCCAGTGTGTCAGAGAAAGTGCAACTGGAGATCCTGCCTGCGCCCCAAAGTCGGCGGCCCCTGAAGCCCTCAGAGGCAGGTGGGTCCCCTTGGAGGATCTCAGGGCATCATATGGATCAACTCATTCTGACCCTCCCATTATCCTAGGAGGTGGCCACTGTCTTAGTCCCATTGTACAGATAGTGACCACGAGGCACAGTGGGGTTACATGACTTGTCCAAGTGACCTGGAAGCTGGCTCCAGAGTCACCAAGCCCCCGGTGAGGGTGGGGGTGCTGTGCAGGGAGGCAGAATCAATGGGCTGAGAGAGGTGGGTCCTCACCCTCCTTCCATGGACTGGACCCCTCAAAGCCCCGCGGCAGAAGGAAGAGCCGGGTAGGCCCTGGGGCAGTCGGGGAGGAAGTGGTACACGGCAGCCAGTTTGGGTGATCAGGTGGGGCAGGTGAGGAGGCGGGATCTCTGAGGGCCTCAGGGAAGCAGATGCTTAGATGGACTTGGAGGCAAAGAATTCACGGGGCGGGGAAGGCCTGGGAAAGGTGGAAGGGGGAGGATGCAGGTCTGAGCAAGACTCCACCAACCCAGGAGCCCTGGCACACAGGCTGCCCTGAGAGCCCAGCAGGGGGCAGGCATGGCCAGGCCCTGGGACCCTGAGGCTGCCCAGGCTCCAGAGCCAGTCACCTGTTCAAGTCTCCCTCCACCACCTCCCACTGCGGGCCTCGCTGGGCCTGCTTTTCCACCCCTGTCCCTGCTGCCCCATGGCTGCGCCCTGAGCACAGTGCCCAGCACATCATGAGTGTCTGGGACGCATGAGCAGAACACTGACTGCCTCCCTTGGCTCAGGGGGAGCTCAGGATCTGTGGTCCTGCTTTCCTCACTTCATCTGCAGATGGGAGCATAGCCTTGGGAGGGTGGGGGGTGAGGGGGGCAGTCGTGGTGAGTTCAGACTCCATCAACCCCTGCACCTCTCTCTCTCTCTCTCTCTCTCTCTCTCTCTCTCTCTCTCTCTCTCGTCTTCCTCCAATGGCCACAGTGAAGGTGCAGAGAAGTGAGCAACCACATCGCTGGGCCCCCTGTGTGCCCTCCTGCCACAGCCCCCGGCCCGGCCACTACAGGACGACACCCACCTGGTCCACACCGGCCGGCCAAGACCAGAGCCGATGTAACGTGCCCACCTGTGCGACTTGTGCATGTTTTGTGGGGGAGGAAACCTAGGCTCAGAGAAACTGGGGGCCTGCCCAGCGTCACCTGGCACATTAGTGATGAGATGGGTCCCTGTCCTGGCAGCTGGGTTTCGCTGGGTCTGTGAAAACCTGCCGTTGTTGAGGCCCAGAGGTCACCCAGCGCGTGGTCGGGGGGGTGGGCAAAGGCATCCCTGTGTCTCCCTGTGGTTGGGTGGCTCCTGGCACCCCCTGTGCAGTAAGGGGAGGCCCTGCCGGGGCTCACGGGGCTGTGCTCTCATCTCCCCAGCCTTATCCTCGACTCCGTTTTCCTCGCCGGTCATGAACCACACCTTGCCCTGCACCAACCCCAGCACCCTTCCCCGTGGATCCCAGCCCATGAGCCCCCGGACCACAATGGGGCGGAGGAGGCAGCGAAGAAGGGAGCACAAGAGTTCATGTAAGCCATGGTCTCTTCCCTCCCTGGCCACAGCCCTGCCAAGTGGGAATCACGACTCCGTGGTACAGATGAGGGAACTGAGGCTCAGGATGGGCCATGACTTGGCTGGCACCAGAGCGAGTCAGGACTCCCACTGCCTTGTCCCTCTGACTCCAGGTGCTTGGGCCCGGGGCTGGGTTGGCTCCCACAGGAAGGCCTGGCTGGGTCGGCCCCACTGAGTGCCGTGCCCACCTGCCCCACAGTGTCTCTGGCCTCCAGCACCGTGGGGCCAGGCGGGCAGATCGTGCACACAGAGACCACGGAGGTTGTGCTCTGCGGCGACCCCCTCAGCGGCTTCGGCCTCCAGCTCCAGGGCGGCATCTTCGCCACCGAGACCCTGTCCTCCCCGCCCCTGGTGCGCTTCATCGAGCCTGACAGCCCGGCCGAGAGGTGAGCCTACTGCCCCCTCCCCGCTGGGCCTGCTGCTCTTCGGCGGGCGCTCACGGACAGCCAGGGAAACTGAGTCACCCACACGCCTGGCTTCACCAGTTATCTCCCTTACCCATCACACCGACTTCGTCACCAGCCCCAGTGATAGATGAGGAAACCGAGGCGCAGAGCAGCCGATTCACTGGCCCAGGGTCACAGGACTCGCGCCCCTGTCGGTCTGAGGTCAGAGTCCTCTATCTGTACATCTTGTAAGGCACGGCATCACCCCCATCAGACAGAGAAACTGAGGCCCAGCAAAGACCCTTAGCCAGAGCCACGGGGTAAACTGCCTGAGGCTCTCGCGCTGGAGCCGGGCAGGGCTGAGACGCACACCTGCACGATGGGCCAGCTCCCCCGCAGAGCTGTGCCAGTGACAGGGCCTCTTTTCTCTGCTGGGCTGCCCGGGGTTCAGGTGTGGGCTGCTGCAGGTGGGGGACCGCGTGCTGTCCATCAACGGCATCGCCACTGAGGACGGGACAATGGAGGAGGCCAACCAGCTGCTGCGGGATGCTGTGCTGGCCCACAAGGTCGTGCTGGAGATCGAGTTCGACGTGGCGGGTGAGTGTGTGCCCCTCGCCTCCTCCTCACGCTTTGGAGCCCTCTGCTCCCTCCTCTTGGCCCTGCTCTTGCCTGGGGCACAGCATTGCGCCTGAGCACTAACCGTGGGGAGGAAGGCACTGGCCGGAGGAAGGCATTCCACGCTCACCAGTGTCAGGGTGGGTTTTGCACCCGAACTCAGGTCAGAATTCTGGTCCTGTGATTGGGACAACGTGTGACCTTGGACAGAACACGGTTTCCCCAACTGTAAAATAGTGAATAGAATCCTTTCACTACGGGGATGTTGCTTGTGTTCGATGAGATAAATCACGTGAAAACACCCAGCTCAGGCTCAGGAAATCGTCACTGGAGCCCAGTTGGGTTGGGCTTGGCTATGGGGAACCCCCAGCTGGCAGTCGCGAGGTCTGGGTTCCAGTCCCCGGTGCCACTCTGACCGGGTGGCTTGGTTGTCTTGAACCAATCTGCCAGCTCACGTGCCTCGGTCTTCGAATCTCTTGGGTGTAAGAAGCAGGATGGGGCTGGTCCCTCCCAGCTGGGCGGGCATAGATGTGGGGCTGGGTCTCACGTGGGTCCACGTCTGTTTGTACCCAGAGTCTGTCATCCCGAGTAGCGGCACCTTCCACGTGAAGCTGCCTAAGAGGCGTGGTGTGGAGCTGGGCATCACCATCAGCTGTGAGTCCCCTCCCCGCCATACTGTCCCCTCCTTACTGTCCCTGCCTGCCCCTGGGAGCCGAGTGAGCCCGCCTGCTGGGAGAAAATACACCTCCTGGCCCAGGGAAAGGCTCTGTGGGGGGACCCGCTGCTTGGGCTCCCTGCGCCCTGCACTGCCCCGCTCTCTCCATAAGCAAGACGGGAGCTTCTCAAAGCCTTGGTCTCTGTTCTGCTCAATGGGAGTCTGCAGGCCCTTAGGGTGTCCAATGGGGTGAACTCCCCAGGGCCCATGAAGCCCTCTGTGACCTGGTCTCTGTGACTTCTGACATTGCCTCCTGCCAGCTCCCTGGCCACTCCAGCCACTGCTGGCCTCTGGGCTGTCCCCTGGACAGGCTATACTAGTATTCCTCTCGGCCTCGGGCCTTCACACTGGCTGCTCCCTCTGCCTTCTTCCCCACCCCCTGCAGGCATTTGCTCACCTGTCACTTTGGCAAGGCCCGCCCCACCACCTGATTTAAAATGGCACTGCCCTCTGCATGGTCCCTGTCCTTTATTTTTCTCCACAACACGCGTTATCACCTGACACGCTCCCTTTAAATTGTGTTGATTATCTGTGACGCCCACTAGATTGGCAGCTCCAGGAGGCCGGGGATCTCTGTCTGTTTTGTTCACTGCTATTTTCCTTCCTGGCACATAGTAGCTACTCAGTAAATTTTCATCAAATGGATGAATGAACAATTATAGGATGAATTGATGAGTCAAGAAAATGAGGCTGACTGGGGCCTGGGAGTCAGGAGCCTGGGTCAGCCCAGCTCTATTCTGGGGCCCCGAAGGGGAAAAAGGTTAGGTTGAGGGGAGTGGAGACCCCAGCCACCTGGCTACAGCATCACTACCTCCACCGCCCTGCTGAGGTGGCCTCCTGGCAGGTGTCCATCTGGTGAGGGCAGCACACACATTGGTGGACCGACCACAGGTCAGACAAGGGACGCTGGGACACCATTTCCCAAGGACTGCCTTCTGAGAACAGGTGGCCAGTACCGCATTCCTGTGTGTAATAATCCTCCGCCCACCCCAGGGCTTGATGGAGGGGCAACTGTCCCGAAGGGCTCTGCAGTCGATGGAGGTGGGAGTGTAAGCCATCCAGGAGCGGGAAGCTGCCTCCAGCTCAGGCACCTCTGGGCAGGGCCACAGGTGCAGTGGCACAGGCTGTACTTGACACAGGGATGCCCATTCAAGGTGGACTTACACCTTTCTTACGTTTTCTCGGGAGTGATTGGAAGGGGCACTTTTGTCTCATCTGCAAAGATGCCATACGGGCTAGGAGGCAATCCGACCACCTGCTCACTAACGGGGAAACCCATTAGCCCAAATGGACTCTTTTCTCAAGAAAACTAGCCATTCCTGCAGCACACATTGCCTTAGGCCCTGTTCCCCAGGAAACAGCTGCTCAGACAAGGAGTTACATGCAGGGGGTGTACTGAGGAAGTCTCTTAAGATCAACACCTGCTGCCATGAGGGAACAGGACTGGGCACAGGGAGAGGTGGAGCTGCAGTGCAGCAGCAATAGAGGCCCAGCCAATCCCATTGGAGAGCTCTCAGCTGGGAGGCCTTGCAAGTTGCCCTGAGCTGAGGCTGGAGCCGGGCCTGTGCATCATCTCCTGGACCAGCCATTGGATGTAGCTGCACCAGGATCGGCATGACCTTGGGTGAGGCGACTCCCTTGGCCAAGGGGGTTCCCAGAATGGGACCCTGCGGTGAGCCGTCAGTAGCCAACACTCCCTGCAGGCCATTGTGGAAGAATCATGCAGTTCTGGGTACCAGCCCTGAGCCAGGTGCTGGGAACACAGACACCAGCCACCCGCAAGGAGCTCACAGTTTGCTGGGGGATGGGCAAGAGGAAAAAATGGCTGATGTGGATGGAGCACCTACTATGTGCCAGGAGCCTGCAGTATCTAGTTTAATCTCCGGATGCCCCTATGAGGTGTGTGGCATCACCCCCACTTTGCAGAAGGGAAACTGAGGCACAAAGAGGTGAGCTGATCTGCTCACAGACACCCAACCAGGCAGCAGTGAGAGCAGGGCTTGTGGCCCCACGTCCATGCCCCAATCCTGGGTCCCCCCGCCCCAGGCTGAGTCATGGCCTCTCTTCCTCCAGCGGCCAGCAGGAAGCGAGGGGAGCCGCTGACCATCTCTGACATCAAGAAAGGCAGTGTGGCACACAGGTAGGGGTGCCCCTGGGCCTGGGGTGGGGTGAGTAGGCCATGGGGTGGGTAGGGCACTGGCATATGCCAGGCTCCATCCTGCCACACACCCCTGCTCACGCAGGACTGGCACCCTCGAGCCAGGGGACAAGCTGCTGGCCATCGACAATATCCGCCTGGACAACTGTGCCATGGAGGACGCCGTGCAGATCCTGCGGCAGTGTGAGGACCTGGTGAAGCTGAAGATCCGGAAGGACGAGGACAACTCTGGTATGGCCCCACCCTGCCCTGCCACCCCTCGAGGTCCCCCAGACCAGCGGTTCCCAGCTTGCAATTCGGGGCTCCCTCTGGCCTGGGAGGGATGGTGGTGGTGCCACCTGAGAGCTGGCTGGTGGAGACTCCTTGACTGGACAGACGCAGGGAGGGGCGGCACCACAGACTCCTCACTGTCCCTGGGGCCCTCCAGGGCCCTTGTGAGTCCGTGGGGGGTTGAGTCACCAGCTGGATCCCCCATGCCGTACACAAAGCCTGGAAGGGGTGGCCCGCGGGGAGCAGCTGTGAGAGACGAGCGGGTGGGGTGTGAATGAAAGGCGGGATGCACCACTGTGTGGGTAGATGTGCGAGTGAGTAAGCAAACCCTGCAAACTCAGACACAGCTGAGGCCAGACGGTGACATAAGCGAGTGAACTGACAGAAGGTAAGAGCAATGGTACAGGTTGGGAGGCAAAAGGGAAGGGTGAGGGTTGGGCCACTGAAGGGCAAATCCCTTATCCTGAGGGGCTGTCACCACCTGCTGCCTGGGCAAGAGGGTCTCTTGGCTGATTTTTTTTAAGGAAAGTTGGAAATCTGGTTCCTTCTCATCATGATTAGCATTATCACAGTCATTATTTCTATTCCTTGTGGCGTGTGAAATCTGCATTTTAAAATGTTTGTTCCACGCTCCTGTTCTTTCTTTTTCTAAATGGTGTTTGGGTGGAAGAAAGCATTCTGGAGGCAGAAGATGGGCTCAGGGCCCCCAGGCTGCGCCATCTGCCGTCACAGCACGAATGAATGTGTGAATGGATGGATGAGTGAATGGATGAGTATGAGTGAGTAAGTGCACCAAGGTTTTGGGGAGCTGGGGGTACCCAGCTCCTGGACCCTGCTCTGCTGGATCCTGCCCCTGATGGGTGTCCCCCTTGCAGATGAGCAGGAGACCACGGGCGCCATCAGCTACACGGTGGAGCTGAAACGCTACGGGGGCCCCCTGGGCATCACCATCTCAGGCACGGAGGAGCCTTTTGACCCCATTGTCATCTCCGGCCTCACCAAGCGTGGTCTGGCTGAGAGGTGAGCCGGGGCTCTGTAGGGACGCACTCGGCGGGCCAGGGGCAGAACTGGGCTGTGGGATTAGCCAGACTGGATTCTGACCTTTGTTCCAGCATCTACGCTCTGGGGGACATGGGGCCTGTCCCTTCCCTCTCTGAGCCTCATTTCCACAGTCGGGCCAGAGCCCTGCAGACCTCCCAGCTCCGGGTCAGTGCTGGATAATGTGCTGATCTCTCTGCTGCCTCCCTTGCGGGGCAGTCAGCACTGTGAGCCTTTTTGGAGCACCTGTGTGCCTTCATATACAGGGGCCGTGCCCAGTACCCTGGGTCCCAGCACCCGAATCGCGGCACAGCCTGGGACTTTTCCTGGCACATTGGAGGCCTGCCCCTGCTATCCTCTCCCCTGGAGAGTGTCCCCCAAACTGTGGCAGCTGGAAGAGGGGATGTCCCAGGTTCTTCAGTTGGTTGGGGGAGCAGATAGATCCAGGACCCAGAGGTGGAAGGGGCCCCACAGGATTCACAAGATCGGCCATGCCAGCGTGGATGAGAGGGTGCATTCTCCCTTTAGCTGGGCAGCGAGCTCCCAGCACCGAGAAGAGCTGGTTGTGAAGGGGGAACCTGACCAGGCTGGAGGGGCACGATGGGTCCCTGGAGGACACGGTGCAGGAGGGGCCCCACAAGGATAGGGTGCAACAGAAGGATGGGAGGCTCCGCACGACAGCTCCCTGTGGCGTCCCCGCTCCTCGAGCGCCCCCTGCTGGCCATCTGGTAGACTGCAGAGGCCAGCGTGGACCGTTCTGACATCAAATGTCTTCACTCCCACGTTTACTGGGAGTGCCAGCCCGTTCTGGGTGCCTGGGGACTGGGGACGGGGACGCAACACACAGTTCCCTCTGCCTTCATTGGGCCGATCTAGCTTGCCGTCCAACTGCAATATAACGCAAGCCACCAATTCATTTATAAGCTTTCTAGTAGCCACATTAGGAAAGCAAAAAGGAACAAAATGAATCTTAAAATATCCCAACATGTAATCAACACAAAAATTATTAACAAAATATTTTACATTCTTTTGTTCATACCACATCTTCAGAGTCTGGTGTGTCTTTTACACCGTCAGCACATCTCATTTCAGGCCAGCACATTTCAGGGGCCTGGTAGCCACCCGTGGCTGGTGGCACCGCTCGGACCTCCCTCCCCGAATCTGTCTGCCGTTCCCTGACTCACTCACTCCCCAGGCCCCAGGGGAGCTTGCTGGGCAAAGCTGAAGATAAGGGCACTCCGGGATGGACTGCTGTGAGCTCCCACCTGGGGGGAGGGAACATCTAAATTTGGGGTTTAAGACCCCCGCCCCAATCCTCTACCTCTTTTTCCCCCACCTGGGTCAAGTGCATCCTCAGCAGATGCTGAACTTCTCTCCCACCCTCAGTCCTGGCTGCTCCTCAGAATCGCCTTCCCCATCCCAGTCCCATAGATTTAATTGTTCGGGGGTGGGGCCCAGCATCTGCATTTTTAAACAGCTCCTCAGGTTATTCTAATAGTTTCCTGGCAGAAAACCACTGGGCCCTGGGATTATGCTCATTCTCTAGGTGGGGAAACTGAGGTCCAAAGAGAGGGAACAGTTACCCATGTATTTCTGCTGAATGGAAACATTAACCCGTTCTACTCATCCATCCTTCAATACTAATTTTTTAAAATATATTTTATTGATTTTTTACAGAGAGGAAGGGAGAGGGATAGAGAGTTAGAAACATCGATGAGAGAGACACATCAATCAGCTGCCTCCTGCACACCCCCTACTGGGGATGTGCCCGCAACCAAGATACATACCTTTGACTGGAATCGAACCTGAGACCCTTCAGTCCGCAGGCCGACGCTCTATCCACTGAGCCAAACCGGTTAGGGCCTTCAATACTAATTTGATAAAATATGTATTGTCACCCCTATTTTGCAGAGGGAGGTTAAGAAACTAGCCCAAGGTCATGTAGCTAGAACTTGGCAGCTAGTTTGTGGGGTTTAAACCATACTCAAAACTCATGCTTGACATTGGTTCTAGAACCTAACTTTAGAGTTAGGCAGGATAATCCCTTCTCAGACTCTAGACTTTATACTTCGGTTAATGCAACTCACAGTCACACTTGCTGGCTTTTTGCAGCTGGGTTTACCTGAGGTCAGCCAGGCGTGTGCCTTGGGCTCCCGGTTTTCCCAGGGCATCTCCTCACTCTGAAACCCTGAGTGCCTAGCTCTTACCCTCTGCCCTGTGCCTCCTCCCCAGGACTGGCGCTATCCACGTTGGGGACCGTATCTTGGCCATCAACAGCGTTAGCCTCAAGGGCCGGCCACTGAGTGAGGCCATCCACCTCCTGCAGGTGGCTGGTGAGACCGTCACACTGAAGATCAAGAAGCAGCTAGACCGTGAGCCTCCCCCCGCTCCCTGGGACCATTCAGCCCATTTAAGAAGGGAGGGCTCTGTGCCTCTGGGCCAGGCTTTGTGCCCCATCTCACAGAATCCTTGCTGACCCCTATGGAGGTGGGAGGATGCCTGAGACACTGAGGAGACAAGACCCAGAGAGGGGAGAGGTGGGCCCAAGGTCACATGGCTGGTGTGGGGCAGAGTCTGGGTCTGAACCCTGTTCTTCATCACCTTCTGCCTCTTAAGACTGCTTGTTGCACCTTGTGGCCATACCTTGTGCATTCCTCAGCTCCCCCCGGACTTGTCCCGTGTGTCTCGGCAGGACTACAGTGGAAGGAGTCTGAGCTTTGGGGTCTTCCTTCTAATCTGGGCTCCACTGTTGCTCCCCATGACCTTGGGCATGTTGTTCAGCTTCCCTGAGCCCCAGTGTTCCCATCTGTGAAATGGGTTTATCTATCAGTGTGGCACCTCCAGCTTGTCAGACTGCCCAGCAGCAGGCTAAGGGGGCTCAGTGCCTGTGGATTCCCACACCAGACTCCAGTGGGGAAACTGAGGCTTTCTGAGCATCTCTATCTCCGAGGTCAGAGGCCAGTGGCAGTGACTCCCACCCCCCTTTTCCTCCTAGGCCCACTCGCACCTCACAAGTCAGGCAGCTTCAGCGAGCCCAGTGATGCGGATGAGGACCCGCCAGAGGCACTCAAAGGAGGACAGCTGACGGCCCGGTTCTCGCCCGCTGTGCCGAGCGTGGACAGCGCCTTGGAGTCCTGGGACAGCTCGGCCACCGAGAGTGGCTTTGGGGGCCCAGGTAACACCTCGGAGCCCTTGGACAAGCAACATGCTCTCTCTGGGTCTCCCCAACTGCCAGGCCTTTGCAGGGCTCTTCCCTGGGCCGAGGCCTCCTTATTCCGCTCCTCGCTCCATCCTCTAGGGACACCTTCCCTGAAGGCAGATCTGATTGGGCCCCATTAGCCATTCTCAGGCTCCTCGCTCCTCAGATCGCGGACACAGGCCTTCACACATCCTCTGCGTAGCTTCCACAGGACCCTACTCTGAGGTCCGAGACCACACTTGTCTTACTCCTGCTGTCTCTCTCATCCCTGCCTGATGCCAGCACAGCAGGTGCTCCATCAGTGTTCACTGCATCCAATTGAAGATGGAAAGGCAGGAAGCCCCCTCCCACCCCATCCTACACCATCCAGCCTGGGGTGGAAACCTCTGGGGTGCCCTCCTAGGACCAGATGCCCCCGTCCATCTATGTTGAGACCCATGGGAGGGACAGGGAGCATTTGAGTCCGGTGGTTGGCCTTCTGGTTTCTGTGACCCAGAGCCACAGGGACTCCCTAAAGCCCAGCTCAGGGGACTAGCGTGATGCCTCTGGGTGGCCTCGGTGGCTCCCAGCCCTGGCCCTCACTCTCTGGGTCCCGGCTTTCCCATCTCGAGCACTTGGTCAGCGTCTGTCAGCTCCACCCCAGGCAGGACCTTCAGAGCGCTCACAGGCAGGGAGAGAAGGATGGTCAAAATACTGAACCTCCTCTCAGCAGGGGATCAGCCCGCCCAGCCCCGCGGAGCTGGGGCAGGGTCCTGGAGCCCCAGGCATTAACTCCTCCGCCAGAGGATTAGGAAAGTCACGGGTTTCTCAGATAGGGACCTGGGTGGCAGGAGCCCTGAGGGCTCACAGACATATTCAGGGTCGCCCAGCGCTGCTAGAGATGGATTGGGAAGGAGGGCACGCAAAGGGCACAGAGAGGAGGGCACGCGAAGGGCACAGAGAGGATGCAGGCACCCCCTGTCTCCACCTGCCAGGTTCCTGAACCCCCAGGAGTGGCAGCCCAGCCGGCTGAGAAGCAGCCCCCCACCCACCGAGCCCCGGAGGACGAGCTACACCCCTGCCCCTGCTGACAAGAGCTTCCCCGAGGAGGAGGAAGAGGAGGATTGGGAGCCACCAACTAGGTCTGTGGTGGGAATGCCGTGAGGAAGGAGCCAGTCCTGGTCCCTTGGGCAGGACGGTGAGGGTCGCGGTCCCTGTGCGGCAGTGGTGCAGGCAGTGGAAGAGTCTGGTCCGCCCCAAGGAGGGGCTCCTCCTGGGAGAGGAGAAAACATGGAGCAGCCTCTCTCAGCCAGGCCGAGGTGGTGGAGGAGCTCGCTGGGTGGAGGGCACAGCAGGGGCAAAGGTGGGGAGGTGGGAAGCAGCCTGGTTTGCCCTTCCCAAGTCTGGGAGTCTCCAGCAGCAGACTCAGAACTCAAACCCAGGTCCTCCTGACTCAGCCCAGATGGCCCGAGGGCCCTTTGGGTCATGGGCACCAGCCCTGGCGCGTGGATATGGTGGTTTTTGTAATGTTGGCTTCAGAGATCTCGGCCTCTCCCTCGAAGGAGGAGGCGCCCGCAGAGAGCTGGCCCTGTGGAGGAATGCTGGCCACCCCTGCCCATGTCCATGCTGTTGGTTAGGCAGTTCCTTCTGCCCAAAACACCTTTCCTTCTCCTCTCCTGGCCAACACCTACTCATCCTTCAAAACCCAGCTCAAATTTCCCCGCCTCTGGAATGCTTGACTTCCTCAGGCAGATGATATTCTTCCCTCTGCTGGTACAGCTGCTCGCGTGAGCCCCTGAATGGCACTAGCCACCTGTGTCTACCTGGTTAATTACCTGGCTCTTCTACGTCCCTTCTATGTGGCACCCCTAGCTCCGTGCCTAGCACCCAGTAGGTGCTCATACACACTTTGTGACTGAATCCTCAGCTCCCTGAGAACAGGGGCCCTGCCTTATTCACCTCCATAGGCCAATTGTTTGTACAATTGACTTAAATGGAGAGAATGTCCTTCAGCCTTGGTCTTCTCATCTTTAAAATGGGAAGGGAAGGAGGCAGCTATTTTGCTTTATTGCTCCTGAGGCTCCCTGAAGGAAAGCCTGTGTGCCTTTGGGAGAGAGGAAGCGCTTTGAAACCATAGCATACGCTATAAAAAGCCAGGACTTGGTACATGGCCGATGGCTTTGTGAACTCTGAAATGTGTGGCTTATTACCTTTCTAATGAGACTCGATTTTAGAGCTGATAATGGGCTCATACAGCCTGTGATGGAAGTTATGGGATGGTCTCAGCCCCTCCCCCAGCACAAATACTCCATCCTCTCCATCCATCTGTGTCCTTACTGGCTCCAGCTTTGTCCCTGTCACTGTCCTATGGTGCCATGTGTCTGGGTGGGGCCAGAAGCCGTCCTCTGGGGCTACACCATGGATCTCCTCTTTGTCTGTCTGTCTGTCTGTCCTTCCGTCTGTCTCTCTTCCCAGGCATCCTGTGTCACTGCTCTCCACCCCGTCTCATCTGCCCCTGTTCTAAGACCGGCAGTCTTGGCCGCCCCTAGCTGCGTCTTCCCCTCATTCCGTGTCACCTACCACTGCCCCGGGGCCCCAGCACTGCCACCGAGGATGCCCGCCTGCCCACCCTCTGGCCCCTCGAGCCCAACGCTGATGGCCATTTAGAAGACTCCTCAGGCCCAGCCTGCCTGCCTGCCCACCCGCCTACCAGGAGTTGACACTCTCTGGTTCCTACGTTACAGCCCAGCCCCCGGCCCTGCCCACAAGGAGGGCTTCTGGCGCGTGTTTGGGGAAGCCCTCGAAGACCTGGAGTCGTGTGGTCAGTCAGAGCTGCTGAGGGAACTGGAGGTAGGCCACCTGCCCTGCGGGCCTGTGTGGGGCACCTGCCTCTGGGCGCACTGGTGTGTGCACCTTTGGGAGGCAAGCATGTTGATGGGATTGTGCTCACGTGTAACATGTATGTGTGCACTCACCCAGCACCCTCTGTGTAAAGGTATCTTCACACATGTGCAGACTGTGCATGGACACACGTGCAGACTGTGCATGGACATGAGTGCAAGTGTGACCGAGAGCATCGTGGTTGGCACAGCAGGGGGTGTGCACATGTGAGCATGTCTGGCACCATCGCATGTGCATTGGGACCATGTGTGTATGCATACATGTGAGCATGCTCATGCATGCACAGTGCTGAGTGTCTTCTCACACCCTGTGTGTCTGAGTGTGCACATTTGGATGCATAGGAACAGCTTGGTGTTTGTGTGTGCATGTGCCTATGTGGACGTGGTTGTGGGCATGCCCTGTGGGAGCCTGTGGATGTCGACATCGTTTACAGCACCGGCAATGAGGAGCCCGAGGAGCTGAGAGGCGAGTGCAGCCTTGTATGATGAGGTCAGCACCGCCCGTGAGGGAGCAGGCTGCCCAGGAGAAGCCAGGGAAGGCCCGACGGGGTCACTCCCGCAGCTCCTTCATACGCGGAGAGCAGCCCTTCACCTTTCCTCTGGGCTGTGTTCTAGTTGCTTCCCTTACTCTGTCTTCCAATTCACTAATGTTCTCCCTGGCTGTTAATCTACTGTTTAGCCCACTTCGTAAATATTGTATTTCCACTTCCACATCTTTTATTTATTTACTCTCTCATTATTTTTCAACTCTTCCCAGTCTTTTTTCTTAATGTCTCATTTTCTTGTTTTTTTCTGCGTACTTTAAGCAGACTTATTTTAAAGTTTCTTTAGATGTCCCTCCCCCCCCCAGTTCACTGGGTGCAAATTCATTCGTCCGCTGTCTCGTGAGCAGGTGGACTCTGTGTTTCATTGTCGTGCTCACTCTCAGCGCGGTTACTCCTGGAGGCACCCGCACGTGCTCTGTGTTGTTGAAGCGCCTCTGAGGTCTTTGCGGTGGCTTTTGAACTTCATCAGTTCCACACCAGGTTTTCATTCGTTGCTCAGCGTGGTGTCTCTATCACACTGTTTATGGAAGGCGGATTCTGGCTCATGCTTCGTCAGTGGTCACCTGCGCTGCTGGCTTCTCTTTCTCACACATGGCTTCCCAGCCCACAGTCCTGGTGGTTCCTTGCTGAACCTCTGAGCTGGCAGGCAGGCATCTCTAGTCCCCATTCAGGGATGGCACTCCCCCAGCTCTCCGCTCCTCCCTGAATGGGCGCCCCAGCTCCTAACAGCACATCTGGTTCCATAGGCCAAATGGTTCTACTCCTGCTCATGTCTGTCTCTATTTAATTTTTTTTTTTGCTTTGAAAGTGTTTATTTTGAAAATTTTATTTTTAATTTACCATAAGTTTTGGAGGGAGATGCGAGCTCTCTGTATCAGCTCAGTCTGCATTTTAATTGGAAGTCCTAGAATTCTACAGTTCTAGGGGTCCAAGCGCTTGTGGTATATACCCTGCTTTCATTGTTTAATGATTCTATTACCCCAAGATTCTGAGTCTCTGGTCTTTCTGTTTGGACCCTGGCTCTCCAGGCAGGTGAGGACCAGATGTAAGAATTGAGAAAGGTGCCTCTATGCCTCTTCATTCAACATCCTCTCGTGTTCTCCTCTCTTCCTCCCCACCCCACCCCAAACCTTTGGCCCTAATTGGTCCTTAGGGGATCTCTAAAAGACCCAAACTCCTAGCCGCAATGTCAGAGAGAACCTTGTATTAATAGTGGAAACTCAGAGCCTAGCCAGCGTGGCTCAGTGGTTGAGCGTCGACCTAGGAACCGGTTCATAGGTCAATTCCTGGTCAGGGCACATGCCTGAATTGCAGGCTCGATCCCCAGTAGGGGGTGTGCAGGAGGTAGCCGATCAATGATTCTCATTGATGTTTCTCTCTCCTTTCTGCTCTGAAATCAATAAAAAAATATATTAATAGTGGAAACTCAGATACTGTGATGGGCAGGAGAGAAGTTTCTAGGCTGGGCAGATACCCTTGTGCCTAGGAAATGATAATATCACGGGTAAGAAGTACATCCTCCCCTCCCACCAACCCCAGAAGCGCCCCCCTACTCCCACCTGTGGATTTCCTAGTCTGAATGGGAATAAATTGGGCTCAGGGTCACGGACTCGCGGCGCTCACTTAGAGTGCAGCATTTCTGACTCCGCTCGCCCTTCCCAGAGCTCCCTTCGCTTCACCTCTGACACGTGTCTGCTCCTTTTGTCCTGCCCCACTGTCCCCATCCCTGTCCTGGCCACGGTCATCTTTTGCTTGGACAACTGCATGGTCCCTCGCAGGTCTCCCCCCTGGCTTCCACACCCACCGCTATAGCCCAGTCTCCACCCAGCAGCTGGAAGATGCTACCAAGTCCACAAATCTGACCCTGCCCCCCGCCCCCTGCACAGACCCTTCAGAGTGTCCCCATTGCCTTTGGGATGAAGTTAACGTTTCTCACTGTAGTCCCAGGGGCGTGTGGGATCAAGCCCTCACCTGCAGCCTCATTCCGTGCCCCTCCTCCAGCCTTCTTCTAGATTCCCACTGCAGGGCCCTCGCACAGGCTGTTCCCTCTGCCTGCCAGGCCCTCTCCCTCCCACCCCCTTTCTTGCTCATCTTTTAGATCTCAGCTCAGGACGCTTCCTGACCTCTCACACGGGACCAGATTCGTTGTCCTCACCTTCCATGTACCAGGCCTCTGTGACTGTTAACTGCCGTGTGTAACTTTATCTTATTTGTTTTTGCAATTAACAAGGTAACAGAGTGGTTAAGACCCTTGACTTTGGAGCCAGACTCTGAGTTCAAATCTTAGTCTCTCTGAGCCTCAGTTTCTTCATCTGTAAAGTGGAGAAAAATAATGGCGTTTGCTGGTCTTGTAATACCGTAGAGAATAAAATGAGTTCGATGTATAAAGTGCTTGGAACTGAGCCCAGCACAGAGTTAGAGCTAATTCAGCGTCAAGGATGGTTATTCTGATTGCTGGTGTGAGTGACCAACCCTGAGAGACCCGGGAGGGCAGCAGCGCGTCTATGCTCCTCACCTTTGTGACCTTGAAGGCTGACACATAGTAGGTGTCCAAAGAGGTGACTGAGACCAGTGAGTGTCTGAGTGAAGGGTTGTGTCCTCACAGGCATCCATCATGACGGGCACCGTGCAGAGCATGGCCCTCGAGGGCAGGCCTGGCCACCGGCCCTGGCGGAGGGGCCGGGAGGTACGCCCTTCCCCGGAGGAGATGCAGGAGCTGCTTCTGCCAACACCCTTGGAGATGCACAAGGTGGGTGCTGGGTGGGGTGGGGGGGGGCACAGGAGGCCTGGGCGTGTGTCCTGGTGCCATGAGAGATGGGCCTGCTTCTCTTCAGCCTTCATTCCTCCACCGTGAAATGGGGATTTTGTACTGGTTTCTCAAAACTTCCGTCACACACACACACACACACACACACACACACACACACACCTGTGATGCACGCTGGGCTATTATTAATATTTTCCTTTAAATAGACTCACTTTTCTCAACTTAAGTTACTGTGTGTGTAGGCTTCTACATATTATGTGTATGTATTTATTACTACCTTAAGTAAAAAGCCAGCATTTTTGCCATCTGTAGGTTACTATATAGAAAGAATAACACAGAGGAGAAAGAAAACCTCTCACCAGCTAGCCCTCAGAAACCTCTGAGCCTGAAGCCAGCTCTTGGGTAAATTGGGGGATGAGCAAGCGTTAGGGGTAGTGAAGACACGTGGGCACCCACTGAGACCTTCTCCGGGGGGAGGCAAGAGGACTGAACGAACTGAAAGGAACTCCCTTCCGAAGGGCCTCTGTTGTGATGGAGAGAGTTGACCTGGGGCCTGGAGCCTGCTGAGTGCAGAAGGGGAGGGGAGCTCCACGGGCGCCGCAAAAAGGCGTGTGGAGTGCCTCTGGGCGGGGACTGCATCCCAGAAACATTGAAAGCCAGACCAAGGATTCCCGCTACCGTGGGAAGTTGGGGCCGGAGCTCAACTCCAGGGACCTCCTCTTCCTTCTGCTCCCAGGTGACCCTGTACAAGGACCCCACGAGGAATGACTTTGGTTTCAGCGTCTCAGACGGCCTCCTGGAGAAGGGTGTCTATGTCCACACTGTGCGCCCCGAGGGGCCCGCCCAGCGTGGGGGCCTCCAGCCCTTCGACAGGGTCCTCCAGGTAATGCTGCAGCAGGCACCTCCGGGGGAGTGGTCTTTCCTAGCCCTGGGCTGGGGAAAGAGTCCCCACTTCTACCCTGGCTGAGTGGCCTTGGGCAGGTCACCTCCCCTCTCTGAGCCCCAGCTCCTTCATTGTGAAAAGGGGATGACGACACCAGTCGTATTAGTCAGGTTAGGCTCAGTTCTGTTGCAGTAACTAGCAACCCTGTGTCATAGTGTTAACACACATGTCCACTGTGGACTGCATTAGCCTTGCTCCGCCTGGGCTGATGGAGACTCCACCTTCTTGTCATTGCCTCAGACACCACAGCAGAGGAAACCCGACTGGAAAATGGCATATGGGATTTTTCTGCCTTTACCTCTCACTCCCCTTCATGGCCTATTGGCCAGAATTAGTCATGTGTCCTCACCAACTGCAAGGGAGACTGGGAAATGCAGATGAGCAGATGGAAAGTTATGGGCATCCTGGCCCAGCCACCCGGGCTGCCTTTCCCCTGCCCCAGCTACTTTTGTTCCCTTGGTGTGATTTCTGCCACATTTGTGCTGAATTTATCGAATATATGTTTTCTCTAAATTGATGACTTTTTTTCAAGTTAAATTGATTTTAAAAGGAAACTTTTCGACTCAGTTAGGAATGAAAACCTGACACTGTTTGCGTGAAATAGAAGGCCAGTGTAAAATACAAATGAAATAGCCACAGGGCATGGCCACACCGTTCTAGGCAGGAGGCCAAATGTGTGCTCTTTCACGACAAAAAGGCATCAGAGGGGCGAAGGGTGTACCAGCACCTCCCTGGGACTTTCCCTTTGATTAAACCCACCAGAAGGATTGAACGTTAAATGAAGAATGCTTTCCCCTGTGTGAGTGTTCTAGATTTTTCCTTCAGCCCAGGCCAGGCTGATGCCAGTCTGTCCCCTGGGCTGTGCACCATGCAGGTCAACCACGTTCGCACGCGGGACTTCGACTGCTGCCTGGCGGTGCCGCTCCTGGCCGAGGCGGGCGACGTGCTGCAGCTGGTCATCAGCCGCAACCCGCTGGCACAGAGCAGCCGGACCCCGCGAGCACCCGGCCCCAGCAGCCCCCGGATGCTCTGACGTCGGCGTGGTTGACACCGAAGGGGCACTCCAGCTGATCCTGGCTCCCAGACCTGTAGCTGGGTTGGAAAAGTGGCCACCCACACGTCCATCTGTCCATCTCGCAGGCTCTAAGCCACGGACAGGACCTTGTCACTGTTCTCTGGTTCTGTGGAGCTGGCGTGCCAGGCAGTGAGGTCCCTGCCCCAATTGGAGTGGCATCTCCAGGTCTTTCTCCATGTTGGGTCTCCAAGATGCCCAGAGGTGCCTGGCCTAACAGGGACGGGCTGCTCAGCTGGGAGAAGAGGGGTCTGGAGGAGGCTCAGGTCCCTACTGAGCATCCTCAGACAGGCGTCTGATGTGGGGAAGCCTAGCTCAGCGTAGGGAGCGCTTTCTCCCAGTGGAGCTATGGAGCTGGAATGAGCTGCCACGGAGGAGTGAGCTCCGTTACAGCAGGTGAGCAAGCAGGGGCTGGGCACCCCGTGGGGTTGTTGCCTGTGGTGTGAGGCCTCCCAGTGATGCCTCCACATGTGCTCAGAGGGTTAGTTTCCTGGCAGGAGCAATCGGGGTGAGGCTGGGGCCACTTCAGCGGGAGAAATGATCGCCAGGAAGGATGCTGCCCGCGTGGGAGCCCACCTCCTCCTCCAGGATCCTGGTGTTCGGGGCTTGCTGGTTCTGAGAGTCTCTGAGTCCCAGTGTCCCCACTTAGAAGGTTCTGAGCTGGGATGTCTGGAATCCAGGAAGCATCAGCCCTTTGATATGAAAGTTGGTGATTGTTTCATTTTGGCGTCTCTGATCCAAAGCTGCTGAGATTTGAGGCCGGGGTACTGGGCGCCCTGGGCAGCTCAGTGTCGGCTTTGGGCTCTCAGCCCCTCCTGCTTCTTTTGTAGGACATGTGGCCACTAACCCATCTGCACAGGCCCCTCGGAGCCCAGGCTCCTCCATGTGGAGGGAGTCATTTTGGGATAAAACTGGGGCTCCATTCACCTGCCACTCAGTGAAGGTGGGAAGCCATGGAAATACGATACATAAGCTGGTGCCACTACTCCCCAGTGTCCAATTCAGGGGAGAAGGAGGAGGGCGAAGCACAGAGAGAGAGAGAGAGAGAGAGAGACTGGAGAGAGACTGGAGAGATGGCCATTCTCTCTCACACTCAATAGTGACAGTGTCCAAAGTGGTCATTCAAGGAAGTTTCTTCCCACTTGAAATCTGGAAGCACCAGCATCTCTTAAAATTGCTTTCCTCATTTCCACAGACCAGAAACCCTTTTGGTTGTGAGAAGGGCCCAGGGCCTCCGCCTGGTGGTCTGGTGTGGCCCCTGGGATGGAGCTGGACAGGCAGGATGCAGCCAGGTCTGGGCTTTGCTTTGTCCCCACCCAGCTCTCGATGGGGGTCTCACAAAAACGGGGCACCCACTCTCACCTGCACCCCACTTCACCTCTGTCCCCCCTTGGCCCGAAAAACGTTCTTCCACTCAAGGGACTGGATCAGGAGTCAAAAGGCCTGTTCCTCCCCCTGACCCCACCCCCCAACTGCTCGGTTGCTGTGTGACCCCCTGTGAGACTGATGCCCCCCAATGGACAATCAAGGGGTGGACAGTCTCTGAGCAGGTTCAGGCCTCCGTGTCCACTGTGGCCCCCTTAGCACCCTGCCCATACTCTCCTGAAGGGCCTGCCTCCCTGGAGAGCCCTTATGCCCTGGCTGGACTGCCCAGTGCCTCTACTCTCTTGGACGTCTGTGGGAACATCCACC